CTAAATTGATAAGAAAGGTGAGAAAATAATGAAAAGCATTGTCTTATAAATTACTTTTTTTATTTTTGGACTGAGTAATGTTTGCAAGTAATTGTAAACTTAATTTGAAATCGTTTACTACTTTCTTTTGTCTTTCCTTTTTTTTGATACTTCAACATATTGCAATACTAATATAAGTAATTTCATAAACTATATAAAGCAGAATTACATTTAAATATTCATTGTTTTTTCATGAGGGCTTATAATACTAATTATATAATTAATTAATCATAATCAATTACCCTATTTTTGTATAATTATTTATTTTTGGCCATGTATTTACAGATATTTTTCGTTGGATGATCCATGGCAACCAATTCTAAATCGCAAAACTGAACGAGCAGAATTACTTCAACGTATGGCAATTGTTGTTGATGAAATTTTAAATGCTGAAATACGACCAAATTGGTTACATCCAGCAATGTTTCATGGACCTTTGACATCTGCAATTTGCTCTGTGAGTGTGTTCAATTTAAATTATTGAAATAATTTAAGAATTTTTTTTCAATAATTAGATTGAAAATTTTTGAATATTTCAAGGAAAAAATCATTTACTGAATTATTTAATTTAACAAGAAAAAGAAAAAGAAAGCAAAAGAAGGAAAGAAGAAAAAGATGAAAAAACATTCAATTCAATTACTTTTTATTTAATAACTAAAAAAAATATTTAATCCACCTTTGTGAACATCATTATTTTTTTCTGTTAATTAGATGGTAACTGATAAGCAACTTATACTTATCAGCACTAATTGCTATATTATCAGTTAACTATTTCTTTATCATAAATAAAATTGATCTAATCTTTTTCTCTTTTTTTCTACATTTGTATAGCACATTAAAATTTGCGTCCAAAATTGCAATTTCATATTAATTGTAATGCAATTTAAACTTGAAATCCAATAACTATCACATAAATGATAAAGGAAGATGATAATCAATATATTATGACTGGTAGTACTGATAAGGTTATAAAATAATTTGAAGTTATCAACATCGAAACCTGGATCCGAAACTAGATAAAAAAATAGTAATTAATATATCAGGATAATTAGTGCTGATGATAAAATATAAAATAAAATAATTTCAGGTTATCATTATCCAAACTTACATCTGGAATTACTTCTGTTCTATATAATTTTGCTATTTAAACCCAAATGGAATTTTACATTTAATTCAATTTCAAATTTAAGTTTTATTATTTAAAATAAAAATTTGAAATAAAACGTTTTCTCTATTCATTATATTTCATCATTCCATTTTTTTTTTTCTTCTAATTTTTTATTTTCTTTAGTTACCACCAATTCGTGATGATAAAGCGATATTAATGCCACCAACAATTGATCCACGTGAAGTATATTGGTCGAAATTTAGCATTTGCAATCATTCACGTCCTTTAGAACGAAAACCATTCATCGTTTCACTACGATATCATCCACCATTTCTATCACAAACCTTACAAAACAATCACAAAATATCACCATCCAAATCCGGATCCGGAACTACTCCTGAATCTTCATCTGCTCCTTCGATCAATGATGGATTAACAACTTCGGCAAAAAAACATCTTGCCACGTGTAGGCGCTTTACCAAACGATAAATTTCGTGATGAGTAAGTACTTCATTTAATTTGTATTCCGGAAATATTCCGAAAATTTCTTTATCACGAGCTATTCTGAGTTTGATCGAATAGTAAATGTTACTTACTTGTTTTTTGTAAGTTTTAAAGTTAAGTTAATCAAAACATTTTGAAATTTATGCTTATCATGGAACTTTTAGCTAAAATCAAATGAATTTTTATGCTAAATAAAACTTATCAAAAAAACAAAAGCAGATAGTATATATGCATTAATTGATTAAGAAATTTTGGTAAATAATGTTTTTGTTTCTTTTTTTTTGTTATCATTTTTAATTAAATATTGTTATCACTATTAATTAAAAATATTTTTATTTAAGACAACAAATTCAAATTGAGCACTTTGTGGGAGAAATTTTACGCGTACGTGGTCTACAATTTAATCGTATCAATGATGATAATCAACCAAAAGATTATCTTTATCAATTACCCTCAACAACTTATCCAAACTATGAATAATTATTGGTTAAATGGAAAGAAGCAAGCAAAAATATTTTAAAACTTCGCAATTTTTCCATCTCACTTTCTTTCTTTTTTTTTTTTTTGCCATTTGCGCCATTTCATATATCATCCATATATTACTGTTTGTATACTTCAGTATTTGATGATATTTTATGATTTTAAAAAATTCCATTTTTCAAATTTATTCCTTTATCATTAAAACGATTTTTTTTTAAAAAAAAGAAGAAAAAAATCTTGGTTAAAAAAGAATTGTTTGAACCAATTATTTACTAACTTTTTTATTTTCTAACTTTTTTGCATAATTTTTTTGATGTTTTTTGAATCAAAAATAAAATTGCAAATTTTATAAGATATTTCGTTGAAATTTATTTAGAAAATTACAAGATTTCGATAAATAAATGATGCAATTTTTTTTTTATCATTCAAATTTATAAATCAAAAAAATTATCAGTATATCATTACTTCCTTCGTTTTCTTCTCTTCGTTTATATACTTATTAGTTTTGTAAATAATTTCTTGTAATTTAGTCGCATTTTTCTTTCCCCTTCCATTGATCATATTATAATCATTATCATATTGCTACTATGATTGATAAGTATTTTCTTTTTTTCTCTAGATATTTCTTAACAGTGATATATCAATCCAATATATATTAGTACTGATAATATATTTCCTCCAATTTTAGAACATTCAATATTTTTGTTTTTATTTTTGAAATATATACTTATTAGGATATATATATATATATATAGCAATTGAATGTTTTGATATCTTTTTCGTATAATTTTCATTAATTTCAAAAATTTCTTTTCATTAAATTTAATGAATATTTATCGTTGATTTCGTCAAAAAAAATAAATTTTATGCAAAAAAAAGTTTATTTTCCTATAAAATATTTAGATTTAAAAAATGAAAATTAAATTTTGACAAAAAAAAATTTGCTCCATTTCGCTAATTGTATGCATGTATTCATATTATTTCCCATAATGCGCAATTTGCTAATTTTTTAAATTTATTAATCTAATTTTATTTTACCCATATGCAAATTAGATTCAATCAGTTTGTCATAATTTAGGCGTAAATTAACAAACAGATTGAATAATCCAACTTTTGATCACTTTCAATGATCAGTAAATCAAAGATTATGTATGTCATATTTATGCAACACTTTGAAATGTTTTATTTTTCATGAAATCATCAATAAATTGGATGCTAGAAGCAAATGAAAAAAAGATTTTGTCCGTTTTTTTTTTTCGCTTCATAGGACAACAACTACGACATGAAATGGTACAATTTCTTCATGCCAATTAATTCTTAATCAAACATTAAAACATTGAAATTCCAATTTTGACCTTTCAACTTCAAGTCGAACTACGATCGATTTTATTGAAATGAAGATAAAAATGATGCAAGAAACAATCTGAAAATACGATAAATATCTAAATGTAAAACTGAAATATATCAAATTAAAAAGGATATATTGATTAAATGAGAAAAGGTATATAAATCATTAATAATGATTGATAAACAATTGCATAGATGAATGTTAAAAAGGTTAAAATAAAATTGCTAATATTTAATAGATAAATGATTAACAATGATTATTAGTCATTTATTGTTAATGTATTTACGAAATAATAATTAATTAATAATAAGTTGAAATAATAATTAATTAGTAGTAGATTGAAATTATTTATTATAATTCGATCAATTTTCTTCTTTCTACTATCTTTATATTTTTTATATGAAATGGACAGATTGATGAACTATAGGAAAATGTTAGAAAAGAAATGAATTTATAAAATATTAATCAAAAAAGAAAGGAGAAAAAAAATAAAGTAATAAAATTGTAACATTATTCTAAATCGATTGGAGTAAATATTATTGGCATTAATCGATATCGATCTATTCTAAATCGATTGGAGTAAATATTATTGGCATTAATCGATATCGATCTATTCTAAGTCGATTGGAGTAAATATTATTGATATTAATCGATATTGATCTATTCTAAATCGATTGGAGTAAATATTATTGGCATTAATCGATATTGATCATAGTAATTTCCATTATATCTGCCAAATCTTAAATGCTTAAAATATGAATGAAAAATTGG